CAGGAGTGCAGGGACTGAGTGTTTGCCGTGTTTTGTTTGATTTGGAATTGTAGAGCTCAATTAGGAATTAAGGTAAGCACAGGGACAGAGCTATTAAGGAAATTGGAAGGGAACAGACAGTCCTGGAATGTGGCAACTCCTGTTTGATTTTAAATGTAAGTTAAATATTAATTTTTCTAAAAAAAAAAAAAACACCCTCTTTCTCCATGGAGGCCTTTTTTTTTTTTTTTTCTGATGCTGATAGATTGTTGGTCCCTTGCCTCTCACATTAACTTACTTGGAGAAAAAAAAAAGTCTTCAGATGATCCTATTTGTGTAAGAAAAAAAATCTTCCAAACAGCCCCCTTGTCGCCAGCATCAACAGCAGCTGAACAGGGTTGGGTTGTTGCATAGTGAGAATAATTCCTTTCATTTTAAAGGAATCAAAGATGTTTGGGGCAAGCAAAGGCCCTGGTCACACAAGATCAAAATAAGCAAATATTAGATTTGCTTATAGAAATTGTTGATCAAGTCTCCTGCTGAAGTCTGAGCATACTTTTTATTGTTCCGTAAAGATTTTAAAGGAATGAAAGAAATCAACTTTGAAAAACTATGCTGATTTGGAGAAAATAAGAATTCTTTCCTGCTGGAGGTTCCCTAAAGCAAGTGGGTATGATGATGCCTTCGACTTGCAAACAGAAGTCAAAAGGAAATTCAAGCTTCTGTCAAGATTTATTCCAAATATAATAAAAAAAGGAAGTGATTGAATCCCTTTAAAACTTTTGGATGGATTCTCTTGTGCTTGGGCTGTTCTCTGAATTTGTAAGGAATGGGGAAGAAAGCGAAATCGCACTCTCCCAGTTCATACCCATCTTAGCAGAAACTCCAACATCTGCCACTCCCAATAGCTCCCTTTTCCATATTATCTTTTTTTTCTCACTTTCATGCATTTTTGTTTCTTTTCCCTTTTTAAAAAATTCACAGAGCTATTATCATGCAATGCTCCATGACATGCAGCATGCATATTTTACATTTCAGTATTTAAAATGAATTGTGCTACTCCTGCCACTGCCTATCTATGTGACCTGTGGGCCTAAGCTTCCTAATGAGGATATAAGAAAAATTAATAAGATTTGCAGTTATGTTCTATCCCAGGGTTTCTCAACTTGGGCACTGTTGATACTTGAGGCTGGACAATTCTTTGTTGTAGGAGGCTCTCCCATTTTTTATGGGATGGTTAGCACCATGCCCAGCCTCTACCCATTAGATGCCAATAATACAACTGTACTCCTCTTCTCTAGGTATGACAACCAATAAGGTCTCCTGGTGGTGGTGGTGGGAGCATCACTAACTATAACAGTGGTTCTTAAACTTTGGAGAATATAGAACCCTGGGGAAACTTGGTAGACAAGTTTCTACAGACTTGGTAGATTCTACTTCAAGAAGCCAGGGTCTCTGTGTCTTTTAATAGTATTTGGATACCTAACAAAATTTGAGAACCACTGCCCATAAGGAATTGTATTGATGAAGTGATTCTCAAACTATTAGTCTTGCACAAAGAGCCTCAGGAACTTAAGAGTTCACGGAAGGAAGGAAAGAACCAATCATCAAGGGATTTGTTAGAAAAGCACATTTTTAGGCTCCACCTCAGATTTAGTGAGTCAGAAATGCTGAGATATGACTCAGTTCTCTAAGAAATGGCTCAGGTGAAGAAAATGTACATTCTTGGTATACCCAGCAATACATTAAGAAGTATGAGAGACTCAGAGAGAACTGCCTTTTTCAACACAGATTGAGGCCATTGGGCAGAGCGTTGTCTGGAACCAACTTCTCCGTCCTGCATGGCTCTTATCACCTTATAGTCATGAACATTTGTTCTGATCTAGCCTTACAAGGCAGATCAGATTGTCCTTCTTGGGGAGCAGGTATTTGAGGGATGGCATATCTCAGACTCATCAAGCCTCCATAGTACCTGGAGTCCTGACCCATAGACTTACTCTTTGGAATATGGTATTCACTCTAGACTGTTGGGTCTCAATCTTGGTTTCATCTTTGAATCATGTAGGGAACTTAAAAATAACAAAACCCAACTCAATGCTGAGGCCATACCCCTCAGCAATTAAAATTAATTAATAACCAATTAAATATGATAAAATTAACCAATTAATAACAAATTAAATTAGAATCTCTCTGAGTGAGAGCTGGAGAGCAGTATTTTTTTGCCCTGAGTCTCAGGAGATTCCAATGTTCAAGCAATTCTGAGATGTCAGTGAAATGCTTACTATAAAGTCATGTGGGATTTGTATAGAGGGAAATAAGGCAGAAAGATAGAAGATTTGAAGACACATGGTCAGTTTTGGGGATCAGTAGACTGGTATGGCTACAGACTCTAAGCTTTTGATTCTTTGCCGATAATTGTGCTTCCCCTAAGTTTTCCTAGATCCTTCCACTAGAAGCCATCTTTACAGGTTCTGCATGTCTATAGTAACTTGGAAACTAACATGTACCACATTCTACTGTTGCAGGGTTCTTGTCTCACAGATTTGAAGAATAAATCTCCTGGACACAAGAGGGTGAAGTGAAGTGAAAGTTCATTAAGCCAAGGTGAAAACAGAAGGGAAAGAAAAAAAGCTCTCTAGAGTGATAGGGGTCTGAATGGGTTGCTACTGAGGGCTGAGTAGCAACCCATTTTATAGTCAGACTTTTATTTAAAAAAGACTGACAAGGAAACTTGGTAAATTTCTTGTCAATATCACAATAGATTTGTGACTATCAGGAGAATATCCTGTCTATATTTAGAACCAACATGGTAGACTTGTAAATACCATAACAAGCAAGGTGTTCCCTTCTCTCTAGTTAATATCTCCTTTGTAACATTTCTCCACATCTGGGATTTCTGTGAGCCTGCAGCCCCCTGCATGAGCCTAGTCATGTAGCTCCCTACCTGTCTGTCCCAGCCTAGCTTGGGCTGTCCCTTACTCTCTACCTTGTTTTATAGTACCATATATTAAGTTCACCTCTTTAACAACATTGTAAACTTCCAAGGATAAGAACCCTGGCTTAGGAAGCCTGGGTGGCTCAGTTGGTTGAGCCTCTGCCTTTGGCTCAGGTCATGACCTCAGGGTCCTAGGATGGAGTCCCCTATCAGGCTGCCTTCTCAGTGGGGAGTCTGCTTCTCTCTCTCCCTCTGCCCCTCCCCCAAGCTCAAGCTCTCTCTTTCTCAAAAGAAACTCTTTAACAACAACAAAAGAACCCTGGCTTATTCATGGCTTCTTTCCCTAGAATACCTACTTGAGAGTAGGCATCCGAAGATAGGAATTTAATTGACATAAAATGATGTGGAAATGACACAGAATGCAGGAATAACTTCTAGCAAAGCCTCCTGGCACTTTATCCCCAGTCACAGAGCAGAACTTCCCAGCCTAGTGTGCTTTAAAACCTTCCACAAGTGCACTGATAACCCTGGATTCTGAGTCTTATCTGAAAAGAGAGATAATCCCTAGAGAAGAAGTCTGGGTGGATGACCCAAGAGCAAATTCTGGCACAGTGAACATTCAAATCCTTCAGTACACACTCAACTCCAATTTGGAGCTTTTCCATCAGTGGGATGAGCCAGAATGAGTGAGGTTTGGTGGAGAAAAATAATAACAGCATGATTCGTTGGTGTCTCTTGGAATTACAAAGCCAAGGCTGTTCATGGTCAGAGCGGTCAAACCCAACAAAATGAATGAAGGAATGAGCCTAAAACTCTGGCAACCTCCTCAGCATAGCGCGGACTCCACACCGAAGACTTTCTGAACACTCCTATCAACTACATGATACACGTAGCTCTTCCCCGTCACCCCTCCCTTTTGCTCACCATCCCAGTGGCCAAGGAGGCTTTGGGGAAACTGCCAAGGGGACTAGGAGAACACAGGAATGCCTTCAGGAGGCAGGCTGGAGTCAAGGGGCCGGTGAGTAAGCTCTCCGGAATCTTTGGGACAGGTCGGAGCCAAGGAACACGAAAAAGGGGGAACACCGTGGCCAGGAGCTATTTATGAGGGAGGAGCAGCAGAGGAACAGGAAAGCCTCCAGTGAAAGCGTCTTGGGAGTCTGGCAGCCTTTTCTTTGCACGTTCTCATCCCTAGATTGATGCTCATCGCCTAAGTCCTAGGGGTACCCGGATTTTAAATTGCCTCTGTTCAATTCTTACAGTTAAGAATTCCTATCTGGGGGATCCCTGGGTGGCGCAGCGGTTTGGCGCCTGCCTTTGGCCCTGGGCGCGATCCTGGAGACCCGGGATCCAATCCCACGTCAGGCTCCCGGTGCATGGAGCCTGCTTCTCCCTCTGCCTATGTCTCTGCCTCTCTCTCTTTCTCACTGTGTGCCTATCATGAATAAATTAAAAAAAAAAAAAAGAATTCCTATCTGAAAACCATGTGACGTGTTGGGACATTTGTTGTAGAAGCGCAACAGAGGCTCAGTCGCTCAAGATCACACAGGCCTGCTCTGAGGACAGTCACATCTTCCTCCAAGGGGTCCTCTAGGTCCTTTGATACCGCCTGGTGGGCGACTGTGCCCCCCCCCTTGCCCCTACCCCTGGCTCCTGCAAAGTGGGGTGAGAGGGCAAGGGAGAGACCCCCTCCTAAGGGGAGGAGCAGCAGGCCTTGATTCTCTGCGTGGTTCCTTTTGCCTTTTCACGGTTCTATACACCTGAACTCATCGCCTTTCTCCTCAAGACTCGCCCCCGGGCCAACTGGTCCCTTGGTGCTTTGTCGCCAGCCTGAGGTGGGGCGCCAGCTCTGCACACTGCGACGTGGGCCACACGCTGCAGAAAGCGGCCAGAGTGCCGACCTCCCCGAGCCGGACCAAGGGAGCACCCCGTCCGCTCGGCCACGCGCAAGGGAGACGCGTGCAAGGCTCGGGCCCGGGCCCGGGCGGGCCTCCAGCGCGCCGGCTCCCGGGCTGCGGGGCGAGCGGCTCGCGGAGGCTCGGGCGGCAGGAGGAGCGTGTGAGCTGTGGGCGTCCCTTTAAGAGCGGCCGGCGGACCCGGCCTCCGCCTCTCAGTCCGCGGAGCGCGCCGGCGGCCACCTGGGCTCGCGGCGGCCGGATCGCGGCGGAGGCGGGAGAGGGGCCCCGACGCCAGGTGCCGGGAGCCGCGGGGCGCGTGGCCGGCCGGAGGATGCGGGAGCGCATCTGGGCGCCGCTGCCGCTGCCGCTGCCGCTGCCGCCGCTGCTGCTGCTGCTGCTGCCGCTGCTCCCGCCGCCGCTGTGGGGCGGCCCCGCGGACAGCCCGCGCCCGGAGGCGCAGCGCGAGCCCGGGCCCCTGCAGCCCTTCGACCTGCTCTACGCCAGCGGCGTGGCCGCCTACTACAGCGAGGACTACGAGCGAGCCGTGCGCGACCTGGAAGCGGCGCTGCGCAGCCACCGGCGCCTGCGGGAGGTCCGCGCGCTCTGCGCCCGCCGCTGCGCCGCCCGCAGCCCGCTCGCGCCCCCCGGCGCCGGCCCCGCGGCCGAGCTGCCCTTCTTCCGCGCGCTGCTGGAGCGCGCCCGCTGCGCCCGCCGCTGCCAGGCCGAGCGCCTCGGGGGCCCCGCGTCCCGCCACCGCGTCAGCGACGATGTGCGCAGCGACTTCCAGCGCAGAGTGCCCTACAACTACCTGCAGCGGGCCTACATCAAGGTACCCAGAGCGCACAGCTCGGCCCCCCCCCAACCCTCCCCAAGGTGCCCAGGGCGCATAGCTCGCGCCCCCCCGCCCTCCCCAAGGTGCCCAGGGCGCACAGCTTGCGACCTCCCCAGCCCTCCCCAAGGTGCCCAGGGCGCAAAGCTTGGACCCCCCCCCTCGAGCCCTCCCCAAGGTGCCCAGGGTGCGCAGCTCACGCCCCCCCCCCACCCTGGAGCTCTCCCCAAGGTACCCAGGGCGCACAGCTCGCCCCCCCCTCCTCGAGCCCTCCCCTAGGTGCCCAGAGCGCCCAGTTCGCGCCCCCACTCTCTGGAGCCCTCCCCACTGCCCCAGTCCCCTTGGCCCTCTGCTCCTTAACCCCTCAGTGCGGGTCTCCTTTAACCTGCCCGTCCTGTGTCCGTGCATCTCCTATCTGGTCGCCCAGGCTCCCTAACACACACCAGATGGGACCTGCTCAAGCCATTAGCTCGTTGGGCATCAACTTGTCTCTGGAAAAGAGGACTACACTGATGAGACGATGCTTGAAGTATCCATTCAGCACTAACTTCGGAGACTTTGGCAGAGCTGGGTCTAGCATAAGGTCTTCTCTTGCTTCATTTCTTGGTCTAACCTCACCCCCGTTTCCCTTCGACTCCACTCTCATCCCTCCTACACTCCAGTCTGCACCTTTTCTCTGAAGTTTACAAGAAAACATCCTCCAAATAGCAGGGTTAAAAGTTGACTTGCTCTGAAACAACTTTGGTGTCCTCTCTTCTCCCCCGCACTTACAAAACAGTAAAGATCAAAAGTAGGGGAGAAGGTGTGGTGGAAGGAGGTGAATCTGTGTGAGGCAATCTCACTCAAAGTGTCTACCCGAAGTGCTGACTTTTCCTCCAGAAGACCTTTGGTAGAGGATTTCCAATTTCTGGAAATAAGCATTGGAGTTATTTGACATCAGCTGCCTAATACTCTCCTTTAGGTTTAATTTCTGTGTATTCAATCTGCCTGAAGTTTGTGTTAGGAGATATACGGTGTATATTGGCATTTTATCCATATCCACAATTTTGATGATCCATCTGGATGCTTCAGCAAAGAGAATTTACTTTTTGAGTTTCTGGAAACACCCCCCCAACCCCCGGCCAATTCATGTTGCTCTGAACTTACACTTTCTCCCCCATCCCCCATTTTCTGGCTTTTTATGTCAATATATCACTGTCCCCTCTGCACCTGCTAAAGTGGCTTAGTGGGTTGTCCTACAGTAGCGTTAGCCAATACACCAGGCTACATTTCTAGGATCGCAGAAATACACACCATGTACAGATACATGTGCACACCATCCTACGAGGTCTGCGCTCTCGTGGGAAGGACACTGGAGGTTTTGCAGTTGTTTGTGGAGCTCAGGAAATCACAGCCGAGACTAATACATACTGCTATGGTTGAGAGGCTGGAGTTCACTAGACTAATACAACTTGGGCGAGAAATAAGGATCAAGCCTGAATCCTTTCCAGGATTCTCTTCTGCTTGCTTTTGCCTCTTGATGAATTTGCTAAACCATGTGTTAAGTATAAGCCTGATATTTTTTGGATGAATAGAGTAATTTTTCATGGTCTTGGAGAAATCAGTCAATAGTCAAGAGAGAGGAGACCTTGAGTGCCCGACAGCCGAAGATCTGCTGAGTCAGTTTGCAGAACAGAACGTGGGTGGCCGAGTTTGGTCCTGATGGCACAGTCTTCCTGGTGGGAGTCTCAGATGTGAGGTTGGCAGTCCTGCTGATAGTTCTGTCGCACATCTTGGGGAGATTTTCCTTTTTCATGTCTGGAGAAGGAATGCATACTCCTGTATGCAGTCCTGTAAAAATAAATAACCATGAGGCAACTCTTGCGATGTGGATTTCTTCAGTTCTGTAATTAAGCTCCCCTCACTGTTCTTGTTACGTTGATCAGTGATCCTGCTTCAGTCCTCTGGTCGGAGGTCAAAGAAGGTGAAGTTACAGGTTTGACATGCCTCAAATTTTTAGCACTGAATTGGTTATAGGAATTAGTCACTTGTGGGCACCTCTGTGGGTGAACTGTTGGGTGTGATCCAATGAATCAATGTAGTTTAAGAAGTTCTCCCCAAAATATGTGAACCCATGTGCTAACTTCTGTTTCGCCAGCAGTGTTTCTGAGGGCAGAACAATTATCGTCTCCCTTTTTACGTCGACTCTAATAAGCAAAGTTTCTTGGATCTACATAATTGATAATCTCTGAAAGAGGAGATACTTGTATTTCTTTGGAAGTTCATTTTTGATGGTTGAGTTTGTAGGAGTGTGTCTGGGAACGTGTAAAAGGTGTACCGCGGTTCCTCCCTCCCCTCTCCCAAGAACGCCGCAGTTTCAGCCTCTGCTTGGCTTCCTGGGAATTTTAATCATAAACACATGCATGCACGCACGCACCCATGCATGCAGACACCATCCTTTGAGAGTAAAACAAAACTCTCAAATAATAACAAAGTGTAGTCAGGCTCTGACAAGTGTGGATTCAGAAGTATTTACTCCCTGATTATAGAATGTGAATGTGTCTGGCTGTGCCTGGATATGAGCATGGCCCCTTATGTCCTTAAGTTGCTTTTGACATCAGGGACTCCATTTGCACTTCCCAGAGGCTAATCCTGGGCCACACTAAATCCAGCGAGGAGTTTACAGCCAGAATTTGAGAACTTGGAAATCCATAATATGGTCAGAACTAGTGGGCTTCCTAGAAATAAGGAAGTACAGTTATTCGCATGTCAGGATTTACCAGCTGTAGGTGCTCTCCGGAGTTGGTGAGCCTCTGATGGAAGCAGATCCTTTATACTGATGTGTTGGAGAGGAAGAGGCATTGAGAATTAGGAAATCCAAGTCCCTGTAAGTTCAGTTGGTCATGTCACTGATGAGGGGAGGGAAAGGGACTCTTTCAGTGTTACATATTGAATGGCAAAGCCAACACGATTTGATAAAATGATGAGCACAGGGCTGGTAGTCGGGAGTCTCACCTTTGCCAGTAACAGATGCCCATGCTTGTACTGTGCCTGCTGCCCCATTGGGTCCCCTCAGGTCCCGGGAAATGCTGCAGTCCCCAGGGCTATCCCTCTGCCAGATTTGGACAGCTCCAGGGATGAGTAGGTCCTTATCCTGGGGTGTAGCAGACACTCCCTGCATGTCTCTTAAGCTCAGCTCTGTAGAATCTTCCTTGAGAGCTGGCATGTTGGGAATTGGTCTGGACAGCTATGAGGCAGCAGCTCCACTTGGTTCCTAGCCACACCTTTCTGGTTAAGTGCATGGCGAGACTCCTCAAACTTTGATGTTTATCGGATTATAAGATATAACTCATGATTCATAGCCCAAAGCCTAAAATAGAACTTTCCTCATAGTATTGTTTGCTCAGAAACCTTCCATGGTTTCTCCTTGCTGCCTTATAAAGTGCACAGAGTTAAGTGCGGCATCCACAGCCCGGCTTCCCCTTAACTTCCTGGCACTATCCCCCTCACTGGCCACCCTCTAGCCTGAGCCAACCATGGCTGCTTGGTCTCAGGTAGCTGATACTTTTGCATATCTAGGCTTTATTTATTCTCTAGAAGGCATGTGGGCTCTAGCATGGGATGGATCTAGGATTGAAATTTATCTCCTCAAAAAAAAAAAAAAAAAGAAAGAAATTTATCTCCTCAATCTCTGGCTGTGTGACCTTGAGCAAATTACATAAACTTTCTGAGCTTTACTTCCTCCCTATGCCACATGGGGTGATAAGAGGACTTGTCTGATTGGTTTAGGTTAGGTTTAAGAGAAGATTTGCATAAAGCACTCAGGAGGGCCTATTTCTCAAAACAACAACAACAACAACAACAAAAACAAAAAAAACCCCAAAACAATGGAGACAGCTTCCTTCTTCTTATTAGTTACAGTAATAGATTTTCTCTCCTCCTGTACATGTTCAAATGGTCACTCTCCTAACACAAATATACCTGCTTCTGTGAGGCCCTCCTTCATGCCCTCTGCAACTCCCAAGAGAACACCCTTCCTGCCTCCTTTGCATGTCCACAGCAAGGAATTTCTTCCTTTCATAACATGTGTCATTTTTAACCTTGTTTCCTGAAAATTCATACCTATCACTTACCTGAGTTCCTTGACATCAAGAACTGTCTTAGTCGTTTTTGCATATCCTAAAGTGGAGTTTCCGATCTGGATGATTTAATAGATGAGTGATTATTACTAATCATCTGGGCATTAAAAATATGATTTAAAAATATATGATTTAAAATTAAAGATTTAGGTATAGTAGGTCTGAGTTGGTCCTTAGCATCTATATCCCCCTAAATATCTAACACAGAGGGCAGTTGCAACAAATGCTCAGTATATGTTTGTTGAATGAATAATAGCTTGGTTTCTTGCATGTGAAATATTGTAGAGAAAGGTCTCTGAATGGCAGCAGGAGGTGTTGTCACACGACTTACTCAGTTTCCCTGCTGATCAGAGGCTGGAGATAGTTACAGAAAGACAAGATTCCTTGACTTCTCACTCTTTTCTACTTGTAAGTTCTGGTGAATATTGCAGACCTCTGTTCCTTTCTCCTTCATCTTTCTCTCCTAATTTAATTACTACTGAAAGCTATGTTTCAGAATACCCTTGGTTGACATATTGTGCCTACATTCTATATATTTGTTGAATTTAAACAAATGTAAGAGAGGGAGGTTTTTTCCTCATTTCTGTGATCTATAATCAGGACTAGTTTGACAGTGACTGTTTTTCTCCCACCATTCCCAGCCATTCAATAAAAAAACAAACAAACAAACAAACAAAAAAAAGCAAAAAACTAGTGGCGCTTATTTATTTTTTTTACTTAAAACAAGCTTACCCCTGCCTGTTTTGTTTCTGAGTTGGTGCTTTGGGCCATTTGACCTTTGTTTTTCTTCTCAGAATTAAAGCGGGGGTGGGGGGGGGGAGGAAATAGCAATTAAGTTAGGCAATCCTATCTCCCTCCTGAAGTCATCTCCCTAAACTCCCT